CAAGGGCACCTCAGTCATGGTATTGAAGGTGGGAGAAAGCGCTGTACATTCACTCCCCCCACCTACAATCCGGGTTCAAGATTCAAGAATCGAACCCACAACCTTTGGGTTACGAATCCGACTCTCTAACCATTAGGCCATGACTTCCCCACATTGTTTTGCTTTATTTGTCGGTTTGGATTCTAGGATATGCAGAGTATTGGCAATAATTAGTCTTATTAATATCATTTGTACTTCAAAAAGTTAACATGTCTCCACATGCCCTGTACTGATATCAAAGGCAATCATTTGGTGTAATGAAAATGATGTTATGATGTATGTAGGACCTGACCCTGAAACACGGTTGGAGAACAGGAGCTATCATTCCTGAGCTGCGTAAAGAGATCAAAATCATGAATACTGAGGAGTACGTCCACACCATGACCTGGCTGCAGGCCCTGACCGGACTGCTGGAACAAATGCAGGTCAGACCACCAGGAGGCGCTCTAAATCACATAACAGCACCACAACCCAATTTACTTTGTAATCTGATGTGCTTCAGAGTGAAACTTGAACCAATTATTTTAGACTAGTTTTGGTCTAGTTATGAAGCTGTATGTGTTTTTATGTTGCAGGTGCACTGGGACCCTGCGTCACAAACAGTCATTCAGCAGTGGATCAATGAAAGGGAGGAGATGAGGTAAGTATCCTTCATATTTTTCTATTAAGATTACTTTTTAATCTTTATATTTTTACTCTACAAACAGACCAGTGTTATTTTTAATATAATTGAGATACAAATATAGTTTTTATTCATTTTTCTTTCAGTTTTAGCTTTGGTTATTTTAGTATGTCAAAAATTTTTATTTAAATTTAAGTTAATCAAATAAAATAATAAAATAAGTTTAGATTTTTTTAAATAATTTGTTTTATTTCAGTTAAAGTTTTAAAATAATGGAAATGTTTTTATGGTATTAGTTTTAGTTAACTACAATAACCCTGACAGACAAACATTTGGGTTCATTATAGAGGAACATGGCATTTAGAATCATTCAAAAATTATTTTCTTCTAACCACTGTATACATTAGACTATATTGATGGCATAGAGAAAATGTAATACTGTAGATAAACTAAGGTTATTCCTGCATTTTGATTTGTATTTTATTTCAAATGTTTTTTGAAACGGCCAAAAAGTCGGGTGTGACGGTACATGTATTCATCCCGAACCGTCCAACCAACCCAAAACAAGAACGGCGATGTTTTAAATCAGCGGTGTGGGAAAGTTTCGGGTTCTAGAGATGCACCGGTCAACGGCTATAAATCAAAACCGGTTTTTAGTTTTATTTTGGCCGATCTCTATTCCAGAATTGTACATAAACTGCATTGTACTTTTCCCAAAATGTAATTTATGTGGAAGTTTTATGAAGTCTGTAAAGAGGAGAAAATACTGTAGTAGGCAGATCAAGTTCACTGTTCACGATGCTTGAAATATAGGAAGACAAATATGTAGGGGTTAATATGAATGTATCTCTGAGAGGAACTGACCGTCGTCAGAAACTGTTCAATAAGTGCCACCTGCTGTCAGAGAATAAATCTGCATTTTCAGTCAGTTTGTCTGCTGTTTTGTTTTGTGCAGGTGTCTTATGTAGCATCATTTTACAAATCTAAAGTCAGACCATTCTGTTTTTGCTTTAAATCTTGAAATGATACAATCTGATTCAAATAAAAAACAGCTGCTCATGCTACATGTATGTAGCACTACTGTCTGTTCAAAATAAATTAAAAATACATTTCCTGTTGTACTGAACTCGTATAAACCGTAACCCCCAAACCAAGGCACGTACCGAACTGTTACACCCCTAGCCAAAAAGTGTTACTTTTTTGTATCCAATTCTTAAAAACAAATTGTTTTTAACAGGTTACGGACCAAAGACATCTTCAATGCCCAGTTCGGGAGTCTTTTCCGCACATACCACAACCCGACGTACTTCTCGCGCCGTCTTTCCCGCTTCGCCGACATCTACATGCCGTCCCTCAGCTGTCTGCTGAACTACGACCTCCAGCACACCTTCTACCCCAGACGCACGCCCCTGCAGCACGAGTCTCCTATCTGGCCCGAGCAGACCAGCACCGGAGCCATGAACATCCCCTTCCAGAGCCACAGGACAACCACCGGTTCCGAATAGAGAGAATGTACAAGACACATGCTGTAAAATGTACGTACCACAGAGCAGCTGCAGTTACATGTTACATCACTTTAATCAGATTCGGCTCTAGTTTTAAAGACACGTGTGGGTAAGTCACTTCATATCACTTTAGTCGTAGATCTGTGCTGTGGTACATGCAAACTGTGGATACCTTCTTTTTGATACCATGTAAAACACTCTGGACAAGAGAGTACTTAAGGAATTTTGTGGTGTTTTAATGTGCCTCGTAGTGTAAGGGAGATTTTCTTTTTTTTCTTTCATCATTGGCCTTCATAAAAACCTCCATTATGCTTATTGATAGACTAAGGGAGAGAATATTTAACACACACGAAAGTGAATGTACATACAGAAGGGTTAAAAATCAAGTTGATTTTGAGCTGAACCTGGTTGCAGATAGCTAATGAAGAACAACTTGTGTTTGAACCAAAAGGGAAACTCTAAGGAAGGCAGATGGACTCTATATTCATTTTGAAATGATCATAAAAACAGTTTCAGTGTTTAATGTTTTAAAAGAGCCTTACATACTGTGTTTAGCAATATTTGATGATAATGTACAAGTGGCTTCAAAAGTTTGAGACCGCTAGTGAAAAAGATATACACTTCCGTTCAGAAGTTTGGGGTCAGTCAGATTTTTATTTTATTAATTTAAATTTAAATTTGTTTTATTTTGAAAAAAAAAAAAAAGTATTTTATTCAGCAAGATGAATAAACATTCATCTTACATTGATCAAAAGTAACAGTAAAGGCATTTATAATGTCACAAAAGATTTCTATATTTTTATTTAATTTTTTTAACCTTTTTTTTAATTCAAAGAATCCTGCAAAATGTATTACCATTTCCAGAAAAATATAAGCAGCACAATTGTTTTCAACAGTGATAATAAGAAATGTCTCTTGAGCAGCAAATCAGCATCTTAGAATGATTTCTGAAAGATCATGTGACTCTGAAGACTGGAGTAATGATGCTGAAAATTCAGCTTTGCATCACAGGAATAAATTACATTTTAACAGTTCTTTTAAATATTTTAATAAGACAGTATTTCACAATATTACTGTATTTTTGATCAAATAAATGCTGGTTTGGTGAGCATAATAAATGTATATTAATCTAAAAAAATCTTACCTCAATCTTTTAAATTGTTGTTTCTTTTTATTACAAATTATATACAGTACAAAAATTTGAGTAAAACTGAAAAAATGCGAATTTGACATCAGGGACTGTATTTTATTTGTTATTAAAATTATTATTTGAAAAAAAAAAAAAAGTATTTTATTCAGCAAGATGAATAAACATTCATCTTACATTGATCAAAAGTAACAGTAAAGGCATTTATAATGTCACAAAAGATTTCTATATTTTTATTTAATTTTTTTAACCTTTTTTTTAATTCAAAGAATCCTGCAAAATGTATTACCATTTCCAGAAAAATATAAGCAGCACAATTGTTTTCAACAGTGATAATAAGAAATGTCTCTTGAGCAGCAAATCAGCATCTTAGAATGATTTCTGAAAGATCATGTGACTCTGAAGACTGGAGTAATGATGCTGAAAATTCAGCTTTGCATCACAGGAATAAATTACATTTTAACAGTTCTTTTAAATATTTTAATAAGACAGTATTTCACAATATTACTGTATTTTTGATCAAATAAATGCTGGTTTGGTGAGCATAATAAATGTATATTAATCTAAAAAAATCTTACCTCAATCTTTTAAATTGTTGTTTCTTTTTATTACAAATTATATACAGTACAAAAATTTGAGTAAAACTGAAAATATGCGAATTTGACATCAGGGACTGTATTTTATTTGTTATTAAAATTATTATGTAATTTTTTGTCAAAATTCTAAAACTTTCTAGGTTTGTGGGTATAGATTTGTGGTCCCTGTTGTATGTTTTTGTTGAATATCGACATTGTGTAACTGTTTAGAAATCATCATTATGCTGAACATACTGTATATATAGTTGCTGTACAATGAAAGTTTGTGTGGCTCTTAAAGTTAAGGAGCATATTTTACTACCATGTAAGCATTTCTGCTACTTTTTTTGTTGTTGTTTCAGTATAGTGAACTTGGTATTATATGAACGTTTGCATTGTGTTTTGAAGACACCAGTATAGGATGGATTTTGCTTTGTTGAAATTGAGAATGCTGAAATTTTTGGGGGGTTTTTTATACTGAAGGAAGGACTTTTGTGACACTTTTTTGCCTCTGTCATTTATTTGACATTGTTCAAATGGCTTTAAATCATTATTTGAAGTGTATTTTATTTGGGATATTATAAATGTAATCAAATTGATAATCGTTTTGTGATTTTTTTTGGGGGGGGGGGGTTATTGTCCATATATAATAATCTTAGAACGGGGGTTTTTTATACTGAAGGAAGGACTTTTGTGACACTTTTTTGCCTCTGTCATTTATTTGACATTGTTCAAATGGCTTTAAATCATTATTTGAAGTGTATTTTATTTGGGATATTATAAATGTAATCAAATTGATAATCGTTTTGTGATTTTTTTTATTGTCCATATATAATAATCTTAGAATTTAATATATAATAATCTTAGAACAAAATCCCAGCAGGCTGCTTTGATTAATAAGATTATTAATTAGCCGGCAAAGAGTAATTTGACAAATGGCCTTTAACAATTGGATATGGTGACCAGATGCTTCAGATTACTGTCTGCTGGTATAAAGCAAAAATCAGGTTTTAGCTGTAGCCAGTATCTGATCCCTTCATTTAAATCTGATAATATGATGGTCTGACCAGCTCTGAACAAAACACCCTGCCGTCCAGACTTCATCTTCATCCATGGAGATCATCACTACAACAGATATGGCCATGACGGTGCAACCTACTATATTTCCACGTGTGGGCTACAGCATACTTTCATACCTCATGTTTATAAACACATTATTTTCTGTGTTTAATAACTTGTTGGTGATTGCAGTGATGCTTAAGAACCTGCATTTTCTCAATGCGATGAACGTCATCATTCTCAGTCTGGCTGTGTCAGATCTTATGATTGCCACCTGCGGCTCTGCCATCGTCACCATCACAAATTACCAAGGATCTTTCTTTTTAGGGGATGCGTTCTGTGTTTTTCAAGGTTTTGCTGTGAACTATTTTGGTGAGTACAGAGTTAAAGGGATCATGGTTATTCTATTTGTTTTATGTTATAGGATGTGTCCCCAAATATGTTGATTCCCTTTTGAAGGACCCCCATAATGGTGTGTGTATATATATATATATATATATATATTCATGTGTAAAGAAGAACCATTAAAAATGTGTGAATAATATTAATATTTTATTTTAAATATGACATTAAATATCTAACTCTTATAGTAAATAGAGCTATAAATATAATTTGTTTTAAAATGTATGCGAAAAATAAATAGTTTTTAAAAATGTAATAATATTTTAAATATTTTAGAAGCGTAATTAAAAAAAAAATATATATATATAATATTTTCAATGTTTAATACTAAAATCATTACATATTTATATATAACATTAAAAAATGGCTTTTATATTAAGTCTATAATATTTTCATGTGGAAATCCCATTTAAAATGTGCGAGAAAAACTATTTAAAAAAAATATTAAATTATAGTATTTAATTTTTTTTAAGTGTAATGTTAAAAAAAATTGTAATACTAAAATACTACATATGTATAATATCAATATATAATTTAAATACAACATTTAAAAATGGGCTTTTATATCAAGGCTACTATTTTTTATATATATATATATATATATATATATATATTATAAGGATATTATTTTGATACAGTGACCAGTTTTTTAAGCTCAATGAATCTGACACTTTTTGTGATTTTTATAATCTTGAAACTCTTATAAACTGCTGCACAGCAAGGCAAAGCAATAAAATATATCTTTAAGACAAACAATAATGTCTTTCTTCCTAGGGCTGGTGTCTTTGTGCACTCTCACACTACTGGCATACGAGCGGTACAACGTGGTCTGCAAACCCATGGCAGGCTTCAAGCTGAACGTCTGCAGGAGCTGCCAGGGTCTGCTGTTTGTCTGGCTCTATTGCCTCTTCTGGGCTGTTGCTCCACTGCTGGGCTGGAGCTCGTACGGGCCGGAGGGCGTCCAGACGTCCTGCTCATTAGGCTGGGAGGTGAGATCCTGGAGCAACTACAGCTACCTCATCTTCTACACGCTCATGTGCTTCATATTGCCCTCCGCTGTCATCGTGTACTGCTACAGCAACGTCCTCGTGTCCATGAGGAAGGTAGGCGACTCGTTCTTAGTGCTGAGAAATAATAAAGACTCAGTGCAAATCATGTCCCATAATTTCAGATCAACAAAAGCATTGAACTTCAAGGGGGGAAAAACTGCCTGGAGGACAATGAACACATGGTACGGATGGTCCTGGCCATGATCATCACCTTCTTCATCTGCTGGTTGCCTTATACCGCCATCTCTGTGGTTGTAGTTGTGGATCCAGAGATCTACATCCCACCTCTGGTGGCCACCATGCCAATGTACTTTGCCAAAACCAGCCCCGTCTACAATCCCATCATCTACTTCCTTACTAACAAACGGGTCTGTTATAGTGTCTGAATCTTCTTTGACAGAGTGTATTTATTTTTGTTTATGGTATATGGTACGCCTATTGTGAATGAAATGATCCAATCGCCCTCTGAAATATGTTTGTCCAGTTTCGAGAGTCAGTTACGAGGTCGATACGTCCCTCGTAACACTGGTGGTATAATGATGTGCTCAACCCAGAGGAGCCAAAGCAGGATTAATCCAGTGTGATCTAAGGTCTGTCATTACGAATTGTGCATTACTGATTGTATTGCTTATATTACTTATATAAAAAATGTTTTACGAAATTAATACTTTTCTTTCAAGGATGCTTTAAATTAATTGAAAATGACAGCATAAAGATATTTGTAACATTTGTAATTCTATTTCACACAAGTTATTCTTTTGAAATTTCTATTCATTAAAGTATCAAGGTTTCCACAAAAAATATTAAGCAGCACAACTGTTTTTAACATTGATAAAAATAAATATTTCTTGAGCACCAAATCGGCATATTAGAAAGATTTCTGAAGAATGAAGACTGGAGTAATTATGCTGAAAACTGAGCTTTGCATCACGGGAATAGGTTACGTTTATTTGAAATTGTAATCATTTTTAAATGCATAAATGCAGCCTTGGTGAACATAAGAGAAAAAAAATAAAAAGTATTGTTGGTTGGTTTTCGGTCATTGGTTATCGGCCAATATTAAAGATCTTTCAAATTCAACCGTAAATATGCCTTCATTTAATTCTCATTTATAGTCAATAGTTCATCTTTAAAAACACTAATAACACTATTAATATGTAATCTTTAGAAAATCTCAAAATTAATATTCATTAATCATTCATTCTCAAAACGAATTTATTCATTTACATAATATCCATCACATGTTAAAAATAAAAATAAAAACCATTATACACATATGCCAAAATGATAGATATTTAACTGAATGCAGAGTAGTAACCTGACGAAGTAAAAAGTGGGCATCTTAATCCCAGATTTAGACATCTTGCAGGGAGAGTAAAACCTTTCCCAAATTAATCTCCTCAAAATAAGATTGTGATCGCTATGACAACAAGACCATAATCAAAGATCAGTTCTGACTATTCTATTATTCCAAATAAAGCCTTTTTAAAATAAATAAGTTTTTACAATAAATAAACAAAAAGCACAGTAGCAGAAATGGCACAGTGCTGTAATTGGCATTGTTCCGGTCTGGAGATGACAACTATACGAACTAGCAAATTGCCTAAAGCAAAAAAGCATCCCCGGTGACCATGAGCCTTGCAGGCTGTTAAAGGTGACATATTGCCCCTTTTTACATAATGTAATATAAGTCTCTGGTGTCCCCAGAATGTGTCTGTGAAGTTTCAGCTCAAAATACTCCACATATAATTTATTATATAATTTTGAAAATGCCTATTTTGAGTGGAAGCAGAAATAAGCTGTTTTTCGGGCCTGTCTTTAAATGCAAATGAGCTGCTGCTCCCCGCCCCCTTTTCCAGAATAGAGCTGCGCCTTTACAGCTCGGAAACCTGCAAAAAAACATCTGTTTTGGTTCTGATTATCATGCTTATCACTCTGAAATCATGCGTTTTAAACCATATGAGTTTAAACTTCAGATATAAGGTTTTCTGAGCGCACACATCCGAAGCACACGGACAGAAAGCGGCTGTCACAGCATGTGAGTACTAAACTAAGTTCTCATTCACACACAGGTTTACGTTAAAAACACACGAGTTACAAAAACAGTCGGTTATGTCTGTGAAGGTAAACAGCTGGGAAATAAATTGCTTGTTTATTTTAGATCTGTGTGGCGGCAGCAATATACAGTAGCCTAAATAAATCAATAAATGCACTGCACTCTTGTCTCCTCTGAGGCTGGGACTGTAAATAGTGTTCTGTGCTTGTCGGTGCAGCCAAAGACAGAACAGTTAGCATGTTTTGCTCAAACTTTCGCCATGGCATTCGAGCTGGTACACCGTTGTCGCTTGCGAAATCAAAATTGACAGTGCCTTGAGTGGAAGTTTACAGATTAAGGGGCGGTAATATTATAATGAGATCCCTTTGCCACGTCACTAAGGGAGCGAAATCAGACGCGCTCGTTTTCTCAGACGCTTGCAGAAAAAGGCTTCCCAAAACAAAGTTACTGGGTTAATCTTTTTCACGTTTCCTTGGTTGGTAGATGCACCGGGGACCTGATTATAGCACTTAAAACCTGAAAAAGTCAGATTTTCATGATATGTCACCTTTAATTGAAAAACGCAAACAAATGGAGAACCATGGTGATGAGGAGTTGCAGAAGTTGCATTTGTAGCTGCCAACGGTCTGGTTTTGCTGGTCACTTTGCACGTAGGAATTCTCGCAAATTTGTTCGTGGCGTGGGCCGTGCACCACCAGAAGTCGCTCCAGACGTCCAACAACGCTCTCCTGGTGAACCTGGCCGTTATTGACCTCTTGCTATGCGCTATTGATTACCCATTGCTCCTCAGTGTTGTTTTGAACCCCCGCGACCTCGGTGTGCTTTTCTGCAGAGCGCAGATCGCATTGTTTTCTCTCATCTGTTGCGTGCAGTTGCTCACGCTGGCGTGCATCAGCGCCATCAAGCCATTGCACATCCATTTAAAAATGCCGAACGCCGAAAACGGATAACGGCGTGGATCGCCTCCATATTGGCAATATGCGTGATATTTGCGAAAGACTCGCCGGTGTACGTCAGGTGCAGAGGTTTGCGCATGGAGACGTTAGAGACGTAGGCCTCTGACACGTTTGGATTTTATATTTTGACTCCCATCTGGTGCGTTTGTTTGACGGTCATCATTGGATTCTACGGACGCATTTTCCTTTTAGTAAGAGCGCACGGTCGGACATTTTTTTTGATGAGGGTTCGTTTCCACCACCGGATAAGAAGAAAGAGGATACAAAGCACAAAAAGGAAGAAACAAAGACTAATATTAAAAAATGATACAGAAATAAACAGTCGATACTGATGATTTAAAACCGACTGAAAAATAGTCTGGGAAGAGAATTGGCATCCAAAATCTGAGGAACTTCCCACAACAACTGTGACTGACACCTTAGAATCTAAATAAACCAGAGATTTCGACTGAAATATCAAGAGAAACCAAAGTCACCTTTAAAGATGAACTTTCCAATGAAGCACCGCAGGTTCTAGAAGTTCTTGGAGAGCCAAACGACCACCAACCTACTTCTGCAGAAAGTTCTTCATCAACTAATGAAGAAGATGGTGCTGTAGAGTCAGGCACCCACTAAGATATTGATGGAGAAATTTCCGTAGGATCAACCAGTGGAGAAGCTGGTGTGGAACCAAAAGCCCAGCAAGATGTTGCTGCAGAAAGTTCTCAGTCTTCAGTAAAAGGAGAAGATGGTGAGCAAGAGTCAAATGACCAACAAGATAATATTTCAGGAGCTCTTCTTCCATCAGCTACTGAAGAAGATGATCCTGTTGAGTCAAGCACTTCACAAGATACTGCAGAAGAAACTTCTCCAACATCAGGAAATGGAGAAGAAGGTGCTGAAGAGCAGAGTGCTCCTGAATAAACTGCTGCGGAAACTTCTCCAGGATCAACCGCACAAGCTACAGCTGCTCCACAGGAGGAGGAGGAGGAGGTGGCGGGTGCCGTCTGTATGATGCCTTCTCTCGCTCAAAGAGAACGAGGAAACGCCAAGAAGGAGAGCAAACTGGCCAAACGCTCCGGATACATCATCTTCACCTTCCTCATCTTTTGGATCCCGCTGATTGCAACAGTGGTTTTAAATCACGTCTTTTACAGACATGACAATCTAACAGTAAATTTCAAACTAATATTTTACCGATTTGTATCACAATATAACATACTCTTAAAAAAAACTAGAAAAGGAGAAAATGCCCCATTCAACCAGATTAGAAATAGCTCTTTGACAACTACAATACCATTCACACCGCAAATAAATAAACAAATGAATAAATCATATAATTTTTTTTGTTTAAAGTGTAAATGTCATTAAAAGGATACGCCATCCCAAAATGAAAATTTTGTCATTAATCACTTACCCACATGTCGTTCCCCTAAAAGCTTAGTTCGTCTTCGGAACACAATTTAAGATATTTTGGATGAAAACCGGGAGGCTTGTGACTGTCCCATTGACTGCCAAGTAAATTACACTGTCAAGGCCCAGAAAAGTATTAAAGACGTCGTCAGAATAGTCCATCTGCCATCAGTGCTTCAACCGTAACGTTATGAAGCGACGAGAATACTTTACCGAACCCAAGCAGCGTACTTTATTCTGTGTCAGCTGCGCTGCACGGATGTGCTGTTTTCGTTCAAATCAAAGCGTAAATACACGTAGAAAACGTATCCTTGTGTCGCGGCTGACACAGAATAGCGTACGCTGCTTGCGTTCAGCGGATATTCTCCAAAATGGCACTACAGTGATGCGGAGAGACACAGAGGAGACGAATTGTTGAATAAAGTCGTTATTTTTGTTTTCTTAGAGTACAAAAAGTATTCTCGTCGCTTCATAACATTACGGTTGAAGCACTGATGGCAGATGGACTATTCTGACTACGTCTTTCATACTTTTCTGGGCCTTGACAGTGTAATTTACTTGGCAGTCAATGGGACAGTCACAAGCCTCCCGGTTTTCATCCAAAATATCTTAAATTGTGTTCCGAAGACAAACAAAGCTTTTAGGGGTTTGGAACGACATGGGGGTAAGTGATTAATGACAACATTTTCATTTTGGGGGTGGAGTATCCCTTTAATTTTGCAGCTTTATGCTTAAAACAACAGAAATAAAATAAACTGAATTATGGAAGATATATTTTAATTTTAATATAATTTTAATTTGTCTTTGTCTTGCATATAAACAATGTATCTTGTTTTAAGGATTAATTTTAGATTAATAAACTCAAAACTTAAAAAAAAATAAACAGATCAATAAATACTGATAATTGATTACATAAATAGTATTTTTATTTATTTATTTTTTGCAGGGCATTGGTCTTAAGGTCTATTATTGTCAAGTCTAATGGTTATCAAACAACAGCTAAAGTTACTGATGTCTTGGCACATATATTTAATGTGTTTCAGGAGGAGGTTTATCAGGAGCTGGATATTTTAACAGTGTCAAAATGGAAAGCGTTTTTTACAAATTCATAGTTTATATACTTGTAGGGTCATCAGAGCTGAGATACCACTATGCCAAACACCACATCTGATCTGTTTATTTGTGTTGTGTTGTCATATGCTGTTGGCCACAAATTGAATTAGATGCGGTCTAAAATCTTAAGAAATGCTAAGACAGTCTAATGGTTATCAAACAACAGCTAAAGTTACTGATGTCTTGGCACATATATTTAATGTGTTTCAGGAGGAGGTTTATCAGGAGCTGGATATTTTAACAGTGTCTTTGGTCTGCATGACATCCCTCACCAACCCGATCATCTACGCAGCAGTCAACCCTCAATTCCGCACTGAATTTCATAATCTGAAGGCAAAATGGAAAGCGTTTTTTACAAATTCATAGTTTATATACTTGTGGGGTCATCAGAGCTGAGATACCACTATGCCAAACACCACATCTGATCTGTTTATTTGTGTTGTCATATGCTGTTGGCCACAAATTGAATTAGATGCGGTCTAAAATCTTAAGAAATGCTAAGACTGTTAATAGAATGAAACAGATGCTATGAATGTTTGTAAACAGCTGCATTTTTGTAACTTTGAAATACTGTGTTTTCCATTAGATTATATTTTGTAAGACCATGTTCAGCCTTTACCTTTGGGAAAAAAATCAAATAAAGATTGAGCGTTTTGGCTTCTTCGATTTAATTTTCAGGTTATGCAACAACATATGATTATTAAATGATTAATACTCAAATGTGATCATGTATAATTCGATACAGCAATGAAAACGAAAATAATTTTATATATATATATTTTTTTATTGTATGTTTTGCCCACAGAATCCCAAATTTTAAATTGTATCCTAAATTTAATGAGTGCATATTTATTTATTCAGAAAAATTTAGAAAATGCTTAGGTCTGGTTAAAATATTTATATCTCATATACACTTTTTAGACAGCCGTTTAGTCACAAAGTAGACATTCAGAAACACACAAAGGGGTCAGTACAACATAAGAAACTGTTCAGTGCAAATAATGTCTTCAAATAATGGCATCTATATTAAGACTTCATTTGCATGATTTTAAATACATAAAGCTCTTATTGATGAACCTGTACCAACACATCAAGAAACACTTGAAAACTGGACTCCTTTTGCAAAATACTTAATATGTCTCATAATAAAATAACATCTATTAATTCTGTAAAATCCAACATACATTGTGCGTCTCGTTTGTTTTAGTAAAATAATTAATCCTTCTATTATCACAATCAGTCTTTTGTACTTACACATGATTAAGTGCCAAATCAGGTCCGCTTCTTGTTGAACAGAATTGTTATTGATGTACCAAAGGACAAAATGTTATGAATAGTAATAGTCTATCTATTACTATCTATAACACAACGCAAGTCTAACATTAATCTGAAACCGTAAACAGTGTTTATAATGTAAATCACGCATTGAATGCATTGAGCTGAAATGTCATTTAGCAACCAGAAGGAGACGGAGCAAAATAGTACATTGCCAGCAGGATGAGATACACCACCACCAGAGCAGTGCCTGTTCATACAAACACACAAAACACAGTGTTTAACACTTCACTCAAATCTGATGAACCAAGAAAAAGCAATGAAGAAGAAATGCAGGATTGTGGTACTAATTATAAAAATAAAATAAAAACCAGCTTCCATATTCACAAAGGGCTTTTGTAAAAACAATTTAAACAACTTTATGGCTGCAATAAGTCCTGATAAAATAAATGGAAAATTTATACAGAAATAAATATACTACCATCCAAAAGTGTGTGATTGGTAAAATGTTTGGGGTTGATATGTCAGTAAGGCTGAATTTATTTGATCAGAAATACAGTATAAACAATAAAGTAATTGTCTTCTATTTGAATATATTTAAAAATGTAATTTATTCCTGTAATGATAAAGCTGAATTTTCAGCATCATTACTCCAGTCTTCAGTGTCATATGATCCTTCAGAAATAATTTTAATATGCTGATTTGGTGATCTAAAAACATTTATTACTATTATCAATACTGACAATTGCGGGAAACCATGAAAGATTTTATTTGAAAAATCTTTGATGAATAGAAAGTTAAAAATAACAGCATTTATTAGATTTTTTTGTTGTTGAAACAACCAAAAAAAATTTGATCAATGTAATGCATTCTTGCTTAATAAATCTATTATTAATTTTTAATTTTATTATTATTATTTAAATTACTGATCCCAAACGTCTGAATGGTATTGTAGTTTTTGAGCAGGAGTCTGCAACTTTTTGTCATAAACTGCCAAAAAAAAGGAAAAGTTACTAACCCCTGGTTTAGATAATATTCAACTTTTACCTTGAAAGTAATCAGACTTTCCATCCATAAAAATATAATTCACAACGATGACACTAAAGATGCTGGCCCACAGGTGCAGGTCGCTGAAGATGAGTACAAAGCCAACATCCTGTCACAGAAAGATTATAAGGAAAACATACTGATACAAGCTGTCACTGAGTATCTGTAGTATGTCTGCATCAAAACAGCATTATCTAAAACCACTCACATAGAAGATGTTGAATAAAACCAGGATGGGGATCTGAATCATGCACACCTGCACTGCAATGCAGCTTCCAACCTCGAAACTGTAAAAAGACAAAACGCATGTATTTTTAGTAGAAAACACCTGATGAAATAAACCCATGGTTGAATTAATGACACAAAAAAATGTTGTTCATTGCTATTTCCTGATGCCTGAAGTGTTACAGAACAAACCAACCTCAAACTGATTGCATTCTGAAGAGCAAACTGCACTCCATTGACAATTTCTGGGATTTCAGGGACCATGGCCAAAACAGTCACACCTATGAAATACTGAGATGAAGAATAGGGTCAGATCATATGTACAGAAATACATTAGTATTGATCTGCATGATGCATTACTGCACTATCAACCTGAGACATAGATGAGTGGCTTAGAATGGGCTGGATGTGTTCGGTGGTCAGGTCGGCACATGCAGACATCAGCACCGTGGCAACGATGAGTATAAGCAAAGCTCTCCATCGGGACCAGTGCACTGACGCTCCGAGATGACCTGCGTGTGCACACACACGCACACACACACAGTTTATATCATGTTGGAGACCTCCAACTGACGTCTATTATTCTTAAATGAATCTTATTATAATCACTACACCCTAACAGACACCTTTGGGCTGATATACATGTAAAAAAGCATTATTTTTGGGATGACCAAGTGTCTGTTCAAAGCTTCGTATTAGTTCATTTATTTCAAAATTGAACAAACTCACCCGTTCCTTCACCAACGTGAATGTCGTAGATGTGGGAATGTGTTTTAAGAGTAAAGATGAGGCCGATGATATAAGATACGGGCAGTAGAATGGAAATGGTGTACACTAGAGGCCTTAAAAAAATAACACGTCAACAGCCACAACAAAAATATATTAATAATATTTTATGAATACTAAAAACATTAAAATAATGAAGAACTGTGAGTACTGCGTATACAAAATGAAAGTGTTCATACTATAAAACTTACTCAATGTGACTGTGAAACAGGCTGTAGCTGTTTTCACTCTAGTGAACCAGAAAGAAAGGATGACTATAGAACTGTGCATCAAATGGTTTGATGTTTCTCTTTCGTGCTTCATGTTTTCATGTTTGTAATCTCACCAGGTCGTAGTGGCAGTTTTTGCACATGAAGGATCCGCTGCTGTTGGTCCCTGTAGAGTTGGTACAGTCCTCACACACTAGATTCCCATAGGCTTTGGAGAAGAGCGTAGGGGCAAACACTCCTAAAGACAACACAGGGGATAATTATGGAGATAAAAACAGTCTCAAAATGTATTTGTTTCCAAAATATGATTCACATATTCAAAAATGTGTAATGCGCACAAAATGCGAAATTCCAAATGCATAACTGAATTTACAAATCTTTTGTTTTTACTTGCAAATCATATTTTGTAAATATGAATTAGGTTATGATTTTGTGAATTACTGTTTTCAAATATATAAGCCTAGCTTACTCATTTGTGAATTATGTTTTGTAAACATTAATTTTGAGACTATTTTAGTTTAATAGAAAATAAATAATGATGATTGACTGTGATGAAAGAATGGAATCCTCTGGTAATCGGATTCATAAAATAATGTATTTTCACAACATATTAGTACCAGGCATTTTAAAGACAATGTCAAATTAAAACTGAACATTTGTGACTATTAATTAGCTATTTGTGAATTATATATTGTAAATCCATTAATTTTGAAGACTATTTTAGTTCCATAGAAAATAAATGATGTTTAATCTGGTAATCTGTTACACGAAATAACATATTTTCAATTTTTTTTTCAATTCACAATTTTTTTTTGATGTGAAAACAAAATTTACTCTGTTTAGCTTCCTAATAAAATTTTTATTTTCATAAATTAATAATTGTGTAAATTATCTAATTTAATGTTAAATAAATTAATAAATTCATGTTTTTCTCTTTGCTTCCTTATATCTTTAATATTTAGAGAATTTTGTGAGTTTTTACAACCAATGTTTGCCAACAAAACCTGTTTGAAAACAGTAATTTTTGCAATGCTTTATGATACACTAGTATCTCAGAAATGACACACTTTACCTTTAAAACTGATTATATTCTGTTCTGTTCTCATCTATATAAAATTAGTTCCCACCCTATGTTACTTCCTACATTATAATGAGTTTTATTTAAAAATTATGTAACAATGTGGAAGTTAAATGTGTTTACAGTGTCATTTCACATTGTCTTTCATTACTACAGCAGGAGAGAAGCGCAATAACAAGCTCATTTTTGCCACCTCATAGAACATGACGTCTCACCCCCTATTGATATGAAGAGCAGAGAGGAGCTGACCCCCGTCGAGCGACTATTGAACCTCTGCTCCCTGTGCCTGAGCCCTCCGATTATCATACAGATCCCCTGAGAGAGACACACACACAAATATAATGGTCATGCATTGCACACTTAGCAGATTTAAGATCCTGTTAGGTAACGGATCACATACTGGTATGAAGAGGATGCAGCCCAGCAGGGTTCCAGTAAGAGCTGCCTTCACGATCTCCTGCAGGCACTTATTCCCCTGGTGATGACCTCTGACCAACGCTGTGATGTAAAAGGTCAACTCTGTGATGGAGCCGAACGTAGCATTCACCACGGCCCCGACAGCAAAGTTACTCTGAGCGGAAATACTGAGAACAGAGATGATAATATTGTTGATGTCAAAGGCATTTGTGAAGTTCAGGTGTTGTTCTGGTGTAACTGCTCACCTTGCAATGCCCATGCCGATGTAATATGAGAGTGGAATGATAGAGATGACTGCTGTGGCAAATTTGACTTCAGAGCTGACAAACTGGTTTGATTTGTCCACGTAACCAATCACTAATGATACTATAACAAATAGTAAGAGATCTGTAGTAACTCCATGTAAGGAAAATGCCCCCTCAAAAAACAAGCATGAATTGTAATGACAGTAAATGTAAAAAAATTAACTTTCTTTTCTTTTTTACATTGAAATAAAAAGTATTCTTATCTGGACTGTACCAGTTCACTAGGAGGCCAGCCACAAGATGTCTTAAAAATATTCAAAATAAGTTTATTAAAAAAAGATGCAAATAATCTAACTTGGTTAAAATGCTAAAACCAACAATGTACACATTCAAAAGTTTGGGGTCTGGGCTTTAAGAAATGACTAAATAATTGTTTAATAAATAAATATTTTATTCAGCAACAATGCATAAAAATGATCAAAAGTGACAGTAAAGACATTTATAATGATTTTATTTCAAATGACTGCTGCTCTTTTGAACTTTCTATTCATCAAAGAATCCTGAAAAAAAAACAGTTTCTCATGGTTTCCAAAAAGTTCCAGAAATAAATGACATTCACATTTTAAAATAAATTACAATAGACAATTCTTTTAATTTGTAATAATTTCACAGTATTGCTGTTGTTGCTGTATTTTTAATCAAATATTTGCAGCTTTGGTAAGCATAAGAGACTTCTTTCAAACACATTAGAAAATCTTACAGACCCCAAACTTTTGAATGTTGGTGTAGAAGAGGTACAAAACAAAAACTGAAAACATATTTCTGAATATCAGAACTAAAGATTTACAAGTGTAAACATCTGTGTTTGTAATTTGATGTTGAGGATACTGACAGCAAAAACATTGATCCCATCCACTGTGTATTTATAGTAGTAGAGGTTCACTGCATGGTAGCAGCACAAAATGACTCGGCCTTCATGCTCCTGAGCCTAAAATAAAAATACAAATCTTAAAATTATCGACATTAAATTGTATGAATTTGCAAATATGATGCATGGTCATAATTTGCATTAATTCACAGATGGCAAAACCTCAGTGGCCTTTCTAATCACAGTATAGAGCTCTCACCTCTGTGGCTTGGCTGATGTGAACGTGTTCGGGGGGTATGAGCAGGATGGTATGTAAGGTCTTAGTGCTCATCTTGGCCACAGGGATGGTGAAAACCAGCAGCCAGGAGATAAGGCACAATACAGAGTGTGTTACGGCCAGGAGAGGGTAGCCCACCAACAGCCATACATATGTGCTCATACGCCACTGAAATCAAATGATTTCATTGTGAGCACAAAAAACGAACAGGAAGACGACAAAAATGCTAGCCATAGTGTACCGAGAGGTAATATTCTCAATTAAGGACAGTGCAACAGTAATTCAAGGTAAAATTACGTAGCAATTTTTTAAAACATTTGTACTCAACCAAAGTAGTGAACTGCAAATAAGCTAAAAGGTGATTAAAACGTATAAAAGTATATTATATACACAACTGTTCAAAAGTTTGGGGTTGGTAGGATTTTTTTCTTGCACTCACCAATGCTGCATTTATTTGATTTAACAATACAGTAAAACTGTAAAAATATAATAATTATATTTTACAGTAAATATTTTCTATTTCATTTTAAAAATGTAATTTATTCCTGTGATAGCAAAGCAGCCATTACTCTTATTATTAGTGTCTTACTGTCACTATGACATTTCATATATATATATATATATATATATTCATGCTTCTCACCCAGTAGTGGTCATTCTGTGGACTTTCTGTGGGCTCTTCTATGGTCTCCCCCACAGGTGTGGGCAGCAGGAGAGGAGAGGAAGGCTTTCCGTCCTCCTCTGCCTCCAGAGTGGAATTATCCTGGAGGATCTTCACACTGAACGCTGGCACAGAAACACTGGCCTGAAAACAGCAACATTTTGTTCAATACCCTTCCAAACCACAAAGCGTCCATGAACAGGCATGTGATGAAAGCCTGATTTACACAGAGCAGGGAAATGAAAACCAGCTCAAAGAGACATTGCGTGTGTAGAGCTGCCACAAGACTGATTCAAAGATCAAGAGTACCCAACCACACAAATTGCATTTGGATATGAAAAGAAACACAACCTTGTCGATCGATTTTCCAAATGGCCACAGAAAATAGCAGGACAACTTCCAGCAAAGTTTCGCTGAAACAAAAAAGTGGCACTTTTGTGATCCAGAGAGACACACTAAAATGTATTAATACTTATTTAGACAAATTATTACCATAGGGGATGCCAAAAACTGTGAGGAACATTAGGAGTCCAACGAAAACATAAACCAGAGAGATCCACCAGCCAAACAGAAACACGTAGAGAACATTGCCACAAGTGAACAATGAACCCACTGAAACCCGAGAATATAAGAGACTGATGTTATTACAGTAAAGGGGAACAAATTGTGTGTAATCAAAGACTATAGAATACCCAAGACATGTCACTCGTATAGTTTTGAATGGGGAAAAATGCAACGCTCAATATGGCCGCTCAATCGCAGGAAGCCCCGCCTTCTGAATGAAAGAGCCAATCGCTAATTGGTAAAGTCAGCGAGTCACTGCAGCTGCCATTAGAAGTCCCGGTTGCTATAGAAACAGTAGGCGTTCTGAGACGTGCTCTTAGGACTGTGCATGCGCACTGGCTGATCTAGCCTGAAAAATAAGCTTTTTATAACGCTATTTGAGCAAAAGTAACAACATTTATGACACAGTTGTTGTCAGATTTCTTTGGTGATTTCAAATATGAAATTTAATCGTAAGCTCAGTGAACAGTTTTGGAGAATTTGATGTTTCCCCATTAAAAAGATATAGGAGTTGCACTTGCATGCCCGAGAGGTGTTTCAAAGATGGCCGCCGAGTGACATGACTTGCCTTAAAGGGGTGGTTCATTGCGATTTCACTTTTTTAACTTTAGTTAGTGTGTAATGTTGCTGTTTGAGCATAAACTATATCTGCAAAGTTACGAAGCTGAAAGTTCAATGCAAACGGAGATATCGTCTTTTAAAATTCTGGCAGTTGAGAGAGAGAGAGAGACAGCGTCACATCACAGTGGAGTCAGTTGTCTTAACCGCGGCTTGTGTACTGCATCATTACTGTGTCTGTTCCCCTTTCGGGCTTGAACTGATGGTAAAACTAAACTAACATTATTTACTGTCTTTACATTTATTTTGAAAGATGAAGCTCGCGATTATGGTAAGGGGTGTTACATTTCCGACAAGTGCTAGCGGTGTTCGGCCAATTACAATGCACTGGGTCAGCTGGCCAATCAGAGCAGACTGCGCTTGTCGGAAGGAGGGACTTTGTAGAAAACGAAGCGTTTGAGAGAGGCGGGGCATAGAGGACCTACAATAATGTACAGTATTTGAAAAATAATGTGTTTTTTGAACATTAAAGCATGTCAACATATTCTGTTACACCAAATACACAAAATAATGATCTTTAAAAAAAGCATCATATGACCCCTTTAAAGAGACTTTGGTGTAATGTAATGCCACATTTATCTATTTATTGGATTTCCTTTATTTTTGTACAATAAAACATCATCAAAATAATGCACTACAACATTTTCTAGATTTCTTCTTAAATAAAAAAATGTATTAAATTGATTTGTTTGATTGCAATATACAGGACCCGTTTGAAAGAAGTTTTGATTCTTTAATAAAAATATTTATATAATTGATAATAAATGAAATTAGTAATTGTTAATAATGAATTAATAGCAAACAAATTTATTTCATTAACTATAATACTTCCATTTATGTTATTTCAGTTTTTCAGTTTAATTGCTTTATTTTTCCTATTTTCAAATAATAGTAATAATAAAAAATGAGTAGGTATGGACAGACATTTTCCAGGGACTATACATGTACTACAGAAGGAAATGAGAAGAGCTTGGTCTAACCTGAATAAGGTTTAATAACGTTCAGCTCAGAGTAAAGCTCCTTCACAATGTTCGACCTGTCTTCAAAGGGACGCTCTGTCACATGACTCTTCCACTTCCTGAAGCCAAACTTAAATGAAGAGAACAGAATGACATCAGCATCAAAAATACGCAAAATGAAACTGGACATAAGTGCTCAGTACACATTTACCTTATAATTATTCGCGAGTTTTTGGGCCTCAACTTCATTTTCAGCACTTATGGTGGTCTTGCACGGGTTCTCATCCCATATTTCATCCCCAAAACTGCATGCTGTAAAGAAGTTGGAAGGACGGACAAATAAGGGGTAGTAGAATCCTGCAAGTATAGAAAAAAAACACCCTTGCTCTTTTGCAAAGTGTGTATGGGGTCTCACTTCTCTGTGGGTGTTTCGGTGTGCAGGAGGCGCTTGTTTGCAACAAACAGGAGTGAGTGTGAGCATCGCTGGCTTCTGAGTGAACGTGAGCTACACAAATCCTGTCACAGCATGAAGCAGGCTGACGACCTCCATCATGGTCCTCTGGAGAATCTGAGGAATGAGACGAAATCATAGCATGGTTTATTATTAAGCATTTGCATCTATTTGGTTTTATTTAAATAATAATATTTTCCAAACGTATTCATTCAAATTCCGTAGAATCGGCAGCATAAAGCTGTTAATTGTGAAAAACCTAGGCTAAACATTCATTTAACTTTAAAAACGAAAATGTTAATTGTACCTAAAACGTAATAATGAACATGGTTCAAATATGGCTTACATGTAATTAATTGAATGCAATTATGATAAATATCTCAACCTGGTTACTGTGTATTTGAAACATACACATTGGTTTATTAGTAGTGACATAAATCTCATTTTTATGTTTCATTTATGACTGACAAATATGCATCATGTTAAGTTAATTAGTTTATGTTAAAACTGTGTCATCCAAACAAATGGACATTTTAAATGCAATTACATACATCTTAAACATTAGGCGGCCTTATAAATTTAAAACTTAAACTTCTTTTTTGTGAAATGTTTTTCTTTAAAAAGTGTTTGCGCTTTATTTCTTTGTAATAAATTCCACTTGGTTTTATATTTTATGTAATGCAATTATATCAATACATTTTTTTAAGTGTGACTTAAATATCAAATAAAAAAAAGTACAGTATTTTCAATAACTGATCATACATATCATTTAAATGCATTTTGGGTGTCAACATCAACACGTTTTAATTCAGATCTAGCCAAAGATATGAAATCTGCAGACAGGAAACATTTGTATATTAATTGGGGAAGTGTAGACTGATGCGGTCTCAAGGTTTCAGTAACATTTCACAACAGAAACCTGACTGGCTGCAAATGCATTACAAGAAATCCTTTTATGAGAAATTCTAATTCATTTATGTCCAGGATAAATCACAAAACAAAGTTATAAAAATCCATTAATGTGAAATACAATGGACAGTCCAGCATTATTCATGTCACGTGAATTAATGATCATGTTACATCCAGCGTTGCATATCAAAAGTCCTAAGTAATTGGAACAAATGTGTAACTGTCTGCTGTAATAAAATAACGCAGTGCACTGTTGTCAATACAAGTCAGTGGATTCTTTTTAGTCCTTCAGCTTACACAAAATGGCCTTATTTTGTATTATCGTTTACCTTGCTTGTCTGTGTCGAGTTTTCTTCTTCGCGTCTCTACATTCGTTGTCATTTCAGCACATTCTCTTCTCGGCCATTCCACGCAGTCTCGAATGACAGACAGTTCTTCTGTAATCAGCCTCATGTGATCCAAGCGCACTTACGCCGAGCGGCCGTGTTGCCAGATCTCGCTAAAAAATTCTGCGAACTGGTCTGACGACACAAACCCAAAGTCCGCTAATATCTCCCCACCAAAACAGGTAAAATAAGGCACTACCGTTTCTCGAGATTTTCAGAACACTCTTATACGATACGAATCCGTCATACTTTCTTATGCCATGGTGTAAAATAAACGTTAAAAGTGCAGCATTAAGTCGCTTATAATAAGCGGACATGGCAACCCCGTGCGAATCGCTTAATCTAATGGGAAATGTAGTTCTGATACTCATTGTATAAACGTTTGCATTTAAAACTAATTTGAAGATGCAGAGTTTGTCTTCACGTGCACCAATTCAATAAACAAAGGTTATTACCATTTAAATATTTATTTCAAAGTACTTTCACAAAGCTGACATAAAAGTCAGAAAGCATTCCAAAATGAAATCATAGCAAATATTAAAAGTAACCACTGTTGTATAATTGCCTTATAACATGAAACAATATTTATTAAATAATGCATCCCATGTCAATATCATCATCGAGCATCAGAAAAGTCACAGTATAATCAATGCACACATTCTGTTAAAGTAAGGTTCCTGGGTCATTACTACATAAGCATAACCTGAATAACTAATTCACTTGCATTATGCAGCACTGAAGAAACACTTATTTTTCAAGGCATTAAGATTTCTAAACACATGCAGAGATGTTACAAGAGTCCTTTCCACCACTAGTCTGGATATCCAAAGCACTTAGTGTGGTCAGAAAAAATGATCTGCATTCACTTGGCAAGAAAACGTTTGGCAGTGGAGATGTTCTCGAAGGTTCTCAAACGAGGTCTGTGGTGTTCACAAATGTCTATTATATTAGGAAATATCGCTCAAAATGCCAGAGGCAGTCATTTCTTGTCCATTTTCTAACATTTTGAGAAGATACCAATGGCCTACCAAGTGGACCACCTGCTACCAGCAGATATCAACACTGCTCCACTAAGCAATTAAAGCTAGGTTGTTAGTGCAGAGCCCTAACGTTTAGGTAGGTAAACAAGCTTCTACACATTGAAGAACGGGCATATTTGGTAAAAAATGTTCTGTAAGAGGTTATGTGAGGAGTCTGGCCACCTGCGTCTTCACCTCCTCATCTGGATGGGACAGCAGCAGGGGCAGCTTACTGTGCAGCTGAGAGGAGCTGTCCAGTAGAACACAGTACAGAGAGTCCTGCCGCCTCCTCAGAGCTTCAGCCACCTGAGCAGAGGGTCTCCACGCATGCAGGTTCCCCACAAAAAACAACAGGCGGAGAAGAACAGATGTGCTTGTGCAGCCGTCAAACAACAAAATCAAAGCGGCTGGAGCCTGTGAACAGATTTACAAGTAAATGGAGGAGTTTAGCGCCAATATATAAAAGCTCTTATAACTAAGAGAAGAACTAAATTATGGCTGAATGATGAATCAAAATAAAGCTAGAATCATGATATAGCTTAGTGCAATTATCAAATCACAAATATTGCGATTTGGGTAAATACATGTGTTTTTCAGAGTAAAGCGCTTGCTGCAGTTTTCCGCTAAAATAAAAGGTTAACGATAGTTTAACTTTGAAAATGAAGGAATATAATTTGTAAGGGCTTCACAACTTGGCCAAAATGTTTAATAAATATATATATTTTTTCAAAATACAGATGTATAAATTGCAATAGTAATATTTTATTTTGTTTAATGCATTATTTAATAATAATTCTAATCATAAAATAATAATAGATTATTTTATTTTATTTTCATGTTGACACAAATTTTTGGCCAAACTGTAAAGTCCTACAAACAAGCACAGCAAACTTACTGCCTTCTATATATATATATATATATATATATATATATATATATATACATATACATATACTGTATTTACTTTATGTATAAATCACACTTTAAATCACAACTGCAATTTTTATCTGAAGAAAAATATTCTTTCGCCCAATCATGCAGCCCTTTGAAAATGAAGAAATTAAGACAGCCATAATTTGAAGGGCTTCACAACTTGGCCAAAAAGTTGTATATCAACAAAACAAAACAAAAATATTAAATAAATAAAATAAATAAAAATGATTATATTATTTTTCTGTCATGTTGACATACAATTTTTTAATTGCAACTGTAATTTTTCTGAAGAAAAATCACAATAATATTCTTTCCCCAAATTGAGCAGCCCTAAATCTACTAAATCATGGCCACAGAGTGGCCTTAAAATAGACATAAGAATCAACAGCAGGCAATGAGAAAAATTAGGACACCTAGCAACCAATGCGATTATTTATAGATTTATCTATTTATAATCATATTGTGGTGGTATGACAGAATAGTCACTGAAACCAAGTGCACTGGATCTCACTTACAAAAAAGTGAAAGCATTACAGCAGAAACCATAAAAGACATGCTTGTTCACCTGAGCTTGCACAATATCATCCATCAGATCTGGATTGGAGGAAATATTTACTAGGACCTTCAGGACTTGGATCTGCAGGAACAGATTAAATCTTCAATACATCTGATATTGTAAACATACCATTCAATATGTTACTCCAAAATCACCTGTAGGACTTCATTGCTCACTATGAGTAGAGATAGGAGAAGGGTGATGGAATTCTTCATCAGATGCTGGTGATTATCTGTGACTGACAGATTAGTGAGCAATCGGAGCGCTGCCAGCTGAAGGTCAGAGTTCACCGGTGACATCTCAATCATCTGCATCACCGACGGGACATATATCTGACCAGAAACAACAGAAACATGTGTAAACATAGTATCCATGGGAGAACACAAGAAAAACACACATTCAAAATGGTGTTATTTTAGTATTATTTGTAGTATACATCATTATAGTATTTATTAACATTTTAGTTTTTTAATTAGCTTTTCTATATTTTCAGTTTTCATTTTAGTTTTAGTCATTTTGTTGTGCTTGTCATTTTTATTCATTTTATTTCTTTACAGCTTTATTTTATTTAAATTTTAGTTTTAGTACTTTAGTAGTTATTATGAGTGTATACAAATAAAAATAGACCCTTTACAGATTCGAATGATGTATTGCTCTTATCATTCTGTACTTTAATCATTTAAGTTCATTTCTGTGCAGAGGGTTAACATATACTAATGATTTCAGTTAATTGCCAAGGCAACATTTCTAATTTGCAGTCAAGTTTTTTCTAAGTTTAAGTTTTTCCATCTAATATTTACATTTTATTTGATTTTATTTCAGTTTTATTTTAATTACTGAGAATAGTTTAAGTTAACAACACTGATCTGAAACCAGGGTATTACAGTTAACTAAAACTAAATCCATTTTTGTTACTTGAAATTAAATAAATGTTAACTGAAATAAAACATTTTTTTAACTTAAACTTATTTTAAGCTAGTTCCAAAGTCAACATTTCTCATTTGTTTAGTACTAAAATAATAAACTCAATAACTCAACTACAATAAAAAACCATCATAAAAACTATATACAGTCTATAATACACACTACCATTCAAAACTTTGGGATCAGAACGATTTTTTATGTTTTTTTTAGAGTTTCTTATGCTCATCAAAGCTGCATTTATTTGATCAAAAATACAGGGAAAAAAATAATGATAAAGTTTTTCTATTTCAATATATATTAAAATCTAATTTATTCCTGTGGTGCAAAGCTGAATTTTCAGCATCATTACTCCAGTCTTCAGAGTCACATGATGCTTCAGAAATCATTCTCATATGAGAAACTGTTGTGCTGCTTCATATTTTTTGGAACCTGTGATACTTTTTTTCAGGCTTCTTTGATGAATAAAAATTTTAAAAGAAGAGCATTTATTTAAAACAGAAATATTTTCTAACAATATACACTACCGTTCAAAAGTTTGGGGAAATGCTGTTCTTTTTAACTTTTTATTCATCAAAGAGTCCTGAAAAAAGTATCGCAGTTTCCAAAAAAATAGTTGGCAGCACAACTGTTGCCAACATTGATAATTCTAATAATAAATCAGCATATTAGAATGATTTCTTAAGGATCATGTGACACTTTGTACTGGAGTTATGGCTGATGGAAATTCAGCTTTGCATCACAGAAATAAATGATATTTTAAAGTATATTAAAATAGAAACTATTATTTTATATTGTAATAACATTTTGCAAGATTACTGTTTTTACTGTATTTTTGATCAAATAAATGCAGCCTTGATGAGCATAAGAGACTTCTTTAAAAAATATTACAAGTCTTACTGATCCCAAACTTTTGAACGGTAGTGTATATACACTCTGCAATCTATAGCAGTATATTGTGCCTCTCTAAAAAGTAAATAACGCAATACCTTCAGTTGCTCTTGATTGCGGATATTCATGCTTAAGTTGTTCAGAGCGTTTAGAGTCTGAACCCGAATCTCAGGTGAAGGGTCTGAGAGGAAGCCTGCTATGATGGGAAGACCTCCGAATTCACGCAGAAGATCCTAACGAAGAAAAGTGAAAAAAACATTGTATATGATGCACAATCTACATATGCTTACTCTTCTGCAAGTCAAAACGTATCAACAAAGTCAGTCTCATACATAATGTCTAGAAGACGGAAAATCAGATGACCTGGTTTACTGTGAAGGCAGCAGCGTTTCCTAAAGTTATGAGAACTTTCCTCCTCTCTTCTGGGTTTGGGCTGCTCTGCAGAAGCGAGAGAAGCATACTCAGATGTCGAGGCTCCAGGCTGGCAGCAGATTTTGAGAGAATATCACCTTATGAGAAGACAAAAAAAAAAACACAAGAAAAGTTTGAATGAAGGAGACATCTGGGACAACAAAATGAAGTTGACACACTGCCTCGATTTAATCACTGTAATATTTATTGAGGGTTGATTGGGTTGGGAAACAACCCTTCAAACTTACAAAGCTTTCAGTGAGCTAGACTTTTTTAAATGTCATAATACATCCTGAAAACCATTTGAATGTCACTTACTAGATTCAGTATCCGCAGGATCC